GTGCTTCTCAGGGGGTTTGGAACAATTCCCTAGAATTTACAGCTAGGGGGCAGCGGTGGCTTGGTGGTTAAGGAAGCATGGCACCACCATCCCCCCCAACAATGCTGCCCCCTGCTGGCTTTGGTGATAGGTTAAAAGCAGAGGTCAGCGGTGTGCTGTGCCACAACTAAAAATAATTCACTTCACTGTGCTGTGATTCTTTATTGATTTTTGCTAATGGATTATTTTTAAGCTACATCACCCCCCCCCCACCCCTGCTCCTCCAGCAGTTGTATAATAGTCAGTGGACTAATAAGAAGAACCCCGTATCACTGACCTTTTGTGATATGACCATTAAAAAACATGAGCCGCCAGTCCAAACACGTGGACAAAACAAACGATTAAAGAGATTAAAAAATGGTCTTTGAACTGGTGGACTCAGCTTCAAAGCAGTGTTCAAAGAGTTGTTGTTTAGTTCAATATAGACACCACTACAGTTCACAGGTATTAAAAGAAGTATTTTCTTCATTTTTATATACTGCCACACCACAGACACTTGATTCTGATAAATAGCCGTCGTCACTACTACAGCTGAAGTGTCTAAAACTTTATTTCACTTAGACCTTTGATCCAACCTGCCGTGCGTCTGCAAACGTCCACTACAGTTTATGTCGACTCAAAATGAAGTGAAACTCTTTTATTCAACTGTACTTTTTCCTAACCTGAGTTTTGGAATCAGGTCGCAGCCAAGGCAGGGTTCCCTCTCGACGCAGCTCGGCCATCTTGGCGTTTAACTTGTGGGCCAGTACGATGGTGAGTGGCATGCACTCGTCGGTCTCATCGGTGGCGTATCCAAACATCAGACCCTGTTAGAGACAAGTGAATTCAACCACCGTTTCTGGTCCCATCTCTGAACCAAACACCAATATGAACAGATTCTGACCTGGTCCCCGGCTCCAACCTCCTCTTCTTTTCGATCCAGGTGAACACCCTGGGCAATGTCAGGTGACTGCTGCTCCAGAGCCACCAGCACGTTGCAGGTTTTATAGTCAAAGCCTGCATAAAAGGAAAGTGCTCTTAGTTGACCCTGAGGCTCTAAAGATACTCTGATAAATATGTCAGAGCCAGTTCAACAGGAGCAAATGTTTGTTTATGCCAGTGATGGATATGAAACTGTGGTTTTACATAAATCTACCCACTGTTGATATAAAACACATTTTAATCTTTATAATCTTCAACTGCAGGTGTAAAAAAAAAAAGTTAATGTTCCCTCGCTACTTCGTGGTTCTCCTTTCCCTCCGTCAGTACATCGTGAATTTCTTTTAAATTCCAATCTCACGCGAGTTTCGCTATATCACGATATTTAACTGTAAATATATTGTTTTCTTTATGTTTGTGATTAAAAAAAAAATTCTAACCTAAAAAAAATTTCAGTCTGCGGAGGGTTGATAACAGTATCTCGCCTCTACTTTGGTAGATTTTCCCTTTTCGTGGGGAATCTTGGAACGCAACTACCGCGACTGGAGAGGGACCACTGTACACAACATATTTTTATAACCATCAAAAACTGAGATATTGGATTAATGTAATCGTAGTTATATAATAATATAATAAATTAAAATTACACAATGTAATTAAGACTGTAACAATCAAATAAATTGCAGGAAGGAGCGCTACCGCAGGTCCTTCCTCCCATCAGCCATAAGACTGTTTAACTCTTTACACTGATTACCTGCACCCTTCACTGCCACTTTATTGTTCATTTTGTATATTTTTCTAAAGTTTACTTTAATTTTAGAGTGCTTTTTGCTTTTTAGTTCTTTTTACTCTATTTATTGTGTTAACTCCTCTTCTCTCTTTTTCTGCACTGCCACTGGCTACTGTACTAGTATGTTTCCCCCAAGGGGGGATAAAGCCCTACTCTACCCACTCTACTCTAAATTCCGACACAATGAAACTGAGGCCTTTGGAAACAAGGAAACACTTTGGCACTACTGTAAAGACCTGTTTTATTTCCACCGATGTCACTGTTATTTGTATCATTTATTCGTTATCTCTATTTATTAAAAAGCTTATCTAAAAGCTTTAAGAACGATTCACAAAAATGAAATAAAAAGCTGTGGCATGGCTGAAGGGCAAATGACGAATTCATCCCACAGTATCGACGACTCTGATGAAGTTTCGTTTCAGCCAAACCTGCAGGAATTTCTGGTTTTTATGTTAATGTGTTTTGCTTTTTTTAACCTTTGGAGGAGTCGTCATAGCCGATGTCTCTGATCGTTTCTCTCACGATCTTCTGGTAGTCCACGGTGGCCCTGGAGGTGATCTCCCCCGCAAGCAGGATCATGCCCGTCTTAGCAACGGTCTCTGAGGAGACAAAGGAGGGCAGTGAGAAGAACGTAAACAAATATGACAACAGAAACTGAGAGGGGAGGGTGGGGCTGTCAGGAATACCACTATACAATAACAAAACTTAACACACACACACACATCATATATCCATGAGCTCACAAATGAGGACAAAGGAAGGACAATGTTTGCTTGTTCAACAACACATACAGTTACTGACAAGTCTATATGCTTAGAAAAAAAAACAAATTTTTTTTTTAAAACTTTGACTATTTTACTTTGATTTTTCTATGGACTTCTCATTTGTGAAGTCTGTATTGTCTATATACCAATGCTCATACCACGCTGTACGTCTCTCTAATGATTATACAGCACTGTACATTTGTTATCTTGAATAAATTTGAATTAAAAAAAAAATAAAAAAATGTCTTCAGGGAGCCTTTTATTTTAGGAAAAAAACAAAAAACAACAGCCTTCAGGGAGCCTTTTATTTTAGGAAAACAAACAAACAAAAAACAACAGTGTCACCTTCATTGTAATGTAAAAAAAGATTATTTAATTTATTATTAATCTGCACATAACCTGCCAACTACAGTTTCACAGTGGACTCACCACATGCTACTTTGGCGTCAGGATCCTGTCTAAGGTGAGCATCCAACACAGCATCGCTGATCTGGTCACAAATTTTATCTGGGGGAAAAACATCCAAAAAAGACAGTCAACAAAAATGACCAAAAAAAAGTGCACCCTCATCTTATCTGATCAAAAATACAGCCCCATATCGTGTGGGCCACAAGAGGGCACTCTTGCTAATGCACCACTGAAAAATAAAAAACAAATTAAACTTAAACTATAAAACAATTAAAAACTTGTTTTTGATAATGCTGTTGCAGAATAAGACGGTTTATCTTTATTGAAAAAGTGACTGTGAAAGGAACTTTTTGAACTGAACTGAATAACTTGAAGTCACTGAACACGTTTCTCTTGCTTTCAACAGCTAAGGAATCTCTGAAGAAACACACCACTTTATATAAGTATACGTGTCAGCGTACTGCAGCTGCTTCAACCTCACAGGTGAACCAACCTTGCAGTATCTATATTTAGGACTGTACTATAAGCCTATTATCCATTTCACTGGAGCAGCCAGTGTGAGGACGGACAACTGTGGTTCATGGTACAGCAATGTACCTGCAAAATAGACCCGTGATTATCATGTGAATAATAAAATGGCAGCTTGTTGAAAACGTGCAAACATCAGCTAAAATTAACAAGGACAGGAAAATCTATCAAAACAGAGGAAACAGAGAAGAAACATTTACACAGTGACATCATCTTCAAATCTTCTGAACTGTTATATTTAATAGTAATAGTGAAATACAGCCACAAGGGACGGAGGAGAAATTAATCCTAAAAAAAAAAAAAAAAAAAACTAAAAAAAATCCTGAACACCAGCTGCTGTGAACGCAAAGACAACAGATTTGTGGCGAACTAATTCTTTTAAATAAATGTAATTAAGAACTCGTGTTGTCGAGTATAATTTTAAAATTTAAGTCTTTTTTTTTTAAATGATGTGGTACTTCTATCCATCTATACAACAACGTCTTTGTTTTTTGGGGGACTTCTATCCATCTATACAACAACGTCTGTGTTTTTTGGGGGGGTTTTTTTACAACACTTTTTCAGCAGTGGAAAAGTAAATAAAAACTTTAGGAATACATACTTTTAAATCGTGCCTGCGTGAGAGGTAGTGTATATACTTTGGGTTTACAAACACTCTCCTCAGAATTGGACATACTATACCGTTTATATGCTCAACTACATGTGAGAAACGTGGGTTCAAGAAGTTTGAGGTTAGCTGGGACAAAACGTTGTACAAACAGTGTCGGGAGAAACTCGGGCCTGTCCCGGTATCGACGTTTAAAACTATTGTCACATTTTAATTGCTAACAATTAAATCAATTAAATAAAATGTAGATAGAGCTCATAATTGACAGGCGGCGAGAGATTAGCTTTTGAAGCTAAGCCAGAGCAACGAACACCCACGTTTGTCCTCTTTTTTTTTTTTTTATGTCCCTATATAACTTACACATGCTGTGTAAATGCGGAGTTAATTATGTTACTTGGAAAACTTTTTCGGGTTAAGTCGGCGTGTCAAAGAAACACACCGGCTAACACACGGTACACGACGTCTGACGCAAATGCTACCAGGCTAATTAGCTCAGTTAGCACCCAGAAATATAAAATCACAGACACAAACTCACCGGGGTGTCCTTCGCCGACTGACTCGGAGGTGAAAAGGAAGATGTTCTCGTCGGCGATCGAGTCATCGTGGAAGCCGTTCATGTTGAGGCTCATTTTAGCTAGTAATGACAGTGTGATGCTAACACGGCTAACACGTCTCTGTAGATGAACTCGCCGCTACAATGCAGTGCAGTGGAGTTGACTACGGAGGGAGGGCGAACTCCACAGCTTTTATGCAGAGCCTGTTCTCAGTTTTAAGCCCGTATAGACTCTTAAAAAAAACCCCGGGCCAAAGCAGTCGTTGTTTTCTGAGGTGTATTAAGCCTTTAGGTCATTTGTTAATGTTGTTGTCGAGGCCGGGCCATGTGAGGAGGAGAGGGCGTGCACCGAGAGAGAGAGCAGAGTCCAGAAACGTCCGCAGCAGCAGCAGCAGCCGTCAGGAAAACTTAATTAAAATGCACTTAAATATGAAATAACAGCGATACGTCTGTTTTATTTTATTTTTTATCGTCCTTTTCTATCTTTCACTATATGATGAACCGACTTACACGTAAAACACAACAGTGGTAGAAAAAAAGTGACTCGTCCTAAAGCCACGAAAACGTGTTTCTGCCGTCTAAAATATGCAATATATATATATTTAAATTAGTGAATAACATTATATATACATTAAGGTTGATTGACTAAGATTGTATTGAAACAATGTCAAATTCCACTGTTTAATATCAAATATAAACCCTCACCTAAAATGTGACGTCAGGCTCAATAGCGGATCTGATGTTTTGCTTGTTTTTTTTATTAGCTTCAAAAGTTTAACTATTAACCAAATTAATTGCTTATGTCAATGACTTTACAAAACGACTGTAAGACATGTTTCAACATGTTTCGTTGACTTTCCACCACAATAAACATATATACAATTGAATGTTGCTTAATGTTGCTTAATGTGTATTATTCATACTGTAACACCATAGGTCGTACATAAGAAGTGGAGCCAGTACCATGTGGTTCCAGGTCCTGGTCCTGGTCCAGGTGCTGAGATGAGACCTTGGTGTAACTGTAATCTACTTCCTAACCCTAGAGCGTTGTCACGAAAAAAAACAAAAACAAAAAAACAAAACATTTTTATTTCCCATTTTAAAAAAATCCACAGAACTAAACTTCTTCTGGATTAAACCTATCCATCAAGCGGGGGGAGGGGGGGGGCAGAAGGGGGGGGGTTCACTGGGTCTGGCAATTATCCTGATTAAAAACATCATGGCTGACTGTACACTGGCTGTGAACGCCTGTTTATGTCTGTGTTGCTATTGCTGCCTTTGGTTTCCATCTTTGTGTTTGTATTTTTGTAATTTTATTTTTTTCATCTGTATAATTAAAACTCAAACCTCAGTGAAGTTTCTTATAAAATTAATAAAATTTGACCTGCTAACAATTCATCATCTGTGAGACAGGAAGGATTAAAAGCATTAAAAAAAAAGAAAAAAAGACCACAGACACAGACACCTCAGTGTCTGTTACTCTCAGTCTGTTACTCTCGTCTTTTATTGGATTACTCACACAGAGATTTAAGAGTGTGTCGATTCAAACACACACACACACACACACACCAGTCTGAGTGTCTCACTGAGCTGCTGGGAATAAGGGATTACTGGTGAAGTCACGTGATCACACTGACACTTCAGGTTGTTTATGTTAAACCACACACACAGACACACAAACACACACAAACACACACACACACACACACACCCAGTTCATGAATACACAGTTCTAGTTTTACAGTTTTACACCAGTCCAGACAAAGTCACAGAATCATGATGTCTCCGTCTTTTTTTTTTTTACAAATATTGCTTTCAATAACCAGGTACGACATCTGTCACAGGTTAGGTCAGATATTACTTCTTTTTTTTTTAACTACTTCTGAGTCTTTAAAAGCACTTGTCTCCAGCAGTCTGGACACATGGTCCAATCTGGCAGCGTGAGATCCGAGCGTGAACTGCGCAATGTTTGCCAAAAATCGTCCGACCGTAGATCATTTCTAAAACCAGGGCTGTCATTTATTCAACTTTGATGAGACATTTTTTTGGCCCAGAGTCTGCGACGTGGGGCTCGTAGCACTTAGCCTGGGAAACACGTTAATGAGATCGTAATTAACTAACAATAATTAATTAATAATTATTAAAGTATTTTTGCGATATTTGATGACGCACTGATTGATTTAAAAACGTTATCTATTTGTGGTAGAGGTTGAAGACTCCTGTGTTTAGAGAAAGAAACTAGCTAGCATCATTTTCTTTCTTTCTTTTTTTTGTTTGTTTGGTCAGAGAGAGCTGTGCTTAGAGCACCCTCTGCTGGATCAGGCTAAAATGACCGCAGATTGTCTTATTCATTACAAGACGTGTTTAAACTGGATCGTGAACTTATTCGAACGTCATTTGTCAAAGTGACAGCCCCGTGACGTGGTGTTAGCTTTACCCTGGTTTCCCGATCTGTTTGATTCCCGTGGGGCTAACCTGAGCTGGTCTGTGTTCACCTATGATGGCGGCGATCAACGCCTCTGGTACACTCACGCCACCGCCTGGAGACACGGGGCTGCGGGGACTCAGCGGACTGATAGATGGTGAAGGCACAGTGTTGGGCGACACCAGCCGTTCCTTCTTGGCAGTGGAGCAGGGTGAGCGGCTCGATGCCTGGCCTTCTTTAGGGCGAGGGCAGAGGCTGAGGCTCTGGAGTGACGGGAGAGGGTTGGAGGTCAGAGCAGGAACTGCAGGACTGCGGCTGTGTCTGTGGCGCTGATGGTGTTTCCCGGTTTTAGGGCTGGGGCTGCGGGAGTTTGGAGCCAGCAGGACAAGAGTGCTGTCGTCTTCTGAGCTGACGTCAGAGCTGTCGGAGCGTCCAATGGGAGGGCTGCAGACTGGGATTTTGATCTGTGTGGGTCGAAGGAAGCTACGTTTGTCATGCTAACACAAAATAACGAATATATATGTATTATATTATAGATTTATTTATTTTAAACATTTCATTCTGTGAACTAGGATGATTAGTTACTATTAACCAATGATTGAGGATTAAAAAATTAACTAAATCAATTCACTAAATTGATCGAATTTCAGGTCCCGGAACTTTGGAGAACTGGTGTTTCCGGCTACTTTTATTTTTTTATTTTTCATTGTCTATTCAACTAAAGATCTATTAATCTGACATCTGCAATTCACCCATCAGAACAATGTATAGTAAATTACAGGAAATTATACAAATAAATATGGTAATCGATAGTTAAAATCCAGCCGTTTTACGAGTACGTACTATAATACTACTACGACAACTACTACCGAAAGAAAAGCGGAAGTATAGTGAGACGGCGGTAGAATTCGCATGGCGTTGGTGGTATAGTGGTGAGCATAGCTGCCTTCCAAGCAGTTGACCCGGGTTCGATTCCCGGCCAACGCAAAAGCTTTTTTTTTGTTTTGTTTTTGTTTAAAACCAGAGCTAAGTTGACGCTGGTGGTTGCTAGCTGTAGCAACTAGGTGCAAAATGTTATTTCTATGTATGTTCACTTCAACTTTTAAAATGCTATTTTTGCATTCTGTACAGTACTTTCCTGTTACAACGAAAATGTGGTTAACTCCAGTCTCGTTAAAATGTCCACCAACATCATCGAACTAAACTTAAAGTCCAGATTAAATCACAAGATGTAACTTTTAGAAAATCATACTTTACTTGATGTAAAGATATATATTTTTTTAATATAAATGCGGAGTTCACATTAGAGATTAGTATCATTACATCATTATTATTTGTCCATGTGACATATTGACTTTACTATACATTAAGACTTTTATCTCCTGCCACTTCCAGCATGTTCACATAGGGATTTAGTATAACTATCCACATACATTTTACATGTATATTACCTATAAAGGTAATATACATGTATATTATACAAGGTAATACATGTACATGTACTGTATATTACCTATATGGTAATACATTTAGCAGACGCTTTCATCTAAGTGATTTACATTTACGTATGTAAACATATATTTTCAGGTACATCCTGTTGACCTGAAGTCAGTGAACCACCAGCGTGAACCACTCTGAGAGGACAAAACTCTGTGCAGGTGTTACCTGAACGGGTGTTGACAGTCCAACAATACTGTTCATGTTGTGGCTGAAGTAGCCAAGAAGGTATTCACAGTCCTCTCTGGGCAGATCTTCCTCTGGAAACGTCACCTGGGGTAAAAAAAAGAAGAAGAAAAAGAAGAGAAGAGAAATGTCTGTGAAGATTAGCAGTGAAATGAAATCACCGATAAATTCCTGTCCCATATCTGTGTCCCACATCGGTGTCCCACCTGTGTCGCATGTTCTCCCTTGGCCCACACATACGCCTGGTAATCTTTGTGGTGTCTGAATCCAAGCTGTACAGAAAGAAACGTCAAAAACTGACACCAAAGGTCAATTCTTTTACTTTTTTATTTTTGTTTGAACCTTTTACAGTGACCTTTGTTAATGTGACCTCTGTGAGGTCAGGGTCACCTTGTACAGTGACCTTTACAGTGACCTTTGTTAATGGTTAATGTGACCTCTGTGAGGTCAGGGTCACCTCGTACAGTGACCTTTGTTAATGTGACCTCTGTGAGGTCAGGGTCACCTTGTACAGCGCCACCCAGTCCCACGAGCTGCGCTGAAAACCGGAGGAAACGCTGAATCTAACTGAAGCGTCCGAGACTTGACTCCACTCCTTGTTGACCTGAAACTCCACCAGTGGAATTTCCACCTTGAACGGGAACTGGAATAGAACAAACAGACGACACAAGTTAAATAATCCAATCAGCAGGTAAACAAAGTAAAGAAGAGTAAACAAACCCTACGTGTAAAGAAAACAGGGCAGAAACAGGCTTGTGATCGCTGATGGTGAAGCCCATGTGACTCTCGTATGTTTGCTGGGTCACTTTAGTTGCCCCACCCAGCCATGAGGTCAGACCCCGCTGCAGTGCTGCATTGTGGGTAGGAACCGGGGAGACGGTGCGTCGAAGGCGCCACAGGATGCGATCTGTCCAGGCTGGTTTCCTTTTCTTAGCACTGATAGTCGAAAGAAAGAGGGTTAGGACTGGTTAACTAACCAAAACTAGTTGAACTGGACCTCACACTCAGACGTCACGGCTGAGATGTTGATTTTGTTTCATCATGTTGCTGCATTATATTATGGTCTGTAGTAAAACTATGCAACATAAGTAGGTCTATGTTACAGTACCGTACCGTACTGTACCATACTGTACCACGCTTAATCATACCATATTTACTTATTTAATTCTTTAACATTTAATCTTTATATTTTCTTTAATTTTTCTTTTTATTATTATTTAAATAAATACGTTCCACCTTTTTATTTTGGGCTGATTTGACTCAATGTTCCTTCTCATCTAAGGTCACATTGTGAAGGTCATTATTAATGGGAATGAACGGACCAACCTGGTGTCGTAGGTGTTGGTGCCCACATCAAATTTATAAGTGGGCGGGAACTTGAGCGCCCCCTCCATGAAGCCATCCAGGATGGACTCTGTGTTTTTAGCCATGTTCAGCTGTGGAGCAGATCGATACAAACATCAGAGACACAAAAAAAATCATTCTGGACAGAAAAGATTTGTCTTAATAATTGTGGAATTACAGTGACCTCTCGTGGCTGGAGTGTGAAACACAAGGAGGGAGTATAAAGAGTTCCAGTGAAGCGTCTGAAAAAATAGTTGCTGTATTGAATTATTCAGAGTCCCGGGCTCTCACCTGATCCCGTTCCCACAGCAGCGGAAGCTTGTTACTGTCGACGGTACATTTCACCACGTGGATGTCGTAGTCCTCGATACGGAAGTTCAAATCTCCAAACCAAAACACCACACTGTGGTAAATAATAATAATAATAAATGACATTGTTAAATACTGGGAATGTAACTGTTCCATTATATATTTAGAATATATGGTTAGATTTTAAATTGAAGTCTATATAAGTAGGGCTAGCTTCCAACTGGCCAATAGTGGTACTGCACCCAGAGCTGTATATTCTGATGTAAACGTCAGTCGACTTTACATGGTCTTTGGACATTGGGTCTTACATTACAGAGGCAATAACCCTGTTTGACAAACACTGGCGCCCCCCAGGGGTGGTTACTTTCAAAGGTGGCTTTGGAAAACACACTAGAGTGATACTACATGGAAATGGGAAAGATGGAAGATGATGAGGTCAAAAAGTCAGACCAGAAATAGCCTTCACTTGACAGATTGAATAGAAGGCTTTAAATCAGGGGCTTTCAACCCCTGGTCCGGGGACCGGTGCCGGTTCATAGGCCATTAGGTACCGAGCCGTAGTAGGACACAGTGAAAAAACGTTCAGGTATTATCGGTCCGCAGTAACAGCTGAGGCTCACTGACCGGTCCTCGGTACAAAAACGTTCAGGGGACCACTGCTTTAGAAACACGTGTACTGAAATACTCCGATCAACATGAGGGTGACATTCAGCCCAGGTCTGAGCTCATGCCACCTGAAGGTTAAAAAAAAAAAAAAAACCCTAAAAAGGTCAAAGGTCACCCACTCGTGGTCCAGGACCCCGGTGGCGGCCCCGCCTTCAAACTGCTGCTGCTGCAGGATGCTCTCGAAGTCCTCCATCCTCTGCTCCAGGTTCCTCATGTGGGCCGGCAGGTGGCAGTTCAGGAAGCAGAGCGGGTGTCCGAAAACCGTCATCCTGGCACTGACGCCTCCTTTGTTCCCCTGTCGGAGACAGAAGACAGAGGAGCGTCTTCATATTTGTCCTGATCAGGTTGCTGCTGAAGGACGAGGTCTTTTTTTTTTGTTGTTTTGTTTTGTTTGTTTTTTTTCATTTTTGAGCTAAAGAAAGATGAAGCGTCTCCTGCTGCACCGACCTCAGAGAGGAGACTGCAGCAGCAGCAGCAGCAGCAGCAGACGGGTCGATGCTGACACAGCACACACACACACACAGAGGTCACACACTGACCCACCCCCCCCCGCCCCCCGTCCCTCCCCCGGCTCACTCACACACACGTACCCAGTAACCCCCCAGTCCCGTGCGCGTCTTCTGTGTCTGCACGCCCCGGAGGAACGGGAGGTGGACGGATTTAGAGAACACCAGCAGGAGAACTCCCTGCATTCTCTGGGACGCCACCTGGTGGACAGGACGGGAAACACAGAAACAGCCGTGAATCTTTGATGACTCAACACAAACACAGCGTGCGTCAGGTGTGTGTGTGCGTGCGTCGACCGCGTCGGCCTTCACCGACCAGGACGTATCCCAGAGGGCTGAGCGTGTCCATGCAGAGCTCGCTCCACTGGTCTGAGAAGAGGGCGTCCTTCAGGCGTTTGTTGATCATGGAGTTCACCTCCTGGAGTCTGGAGAGGAGACGGCGGATTTAAAGGACGGTGACGGACAAACACAGACCACGGTCGTGGGCGTCCACGTCTGACGCTCTCTTACCCGATGACACACATGTCCACGCTGCCATCTGAGACATTCGGTCCAAACAGAGCGGTGATGTCATCCGGTGGGACGGCCGAGCCCACGTTCCATGTGGCGATGTAGACACTGGACAGACAGAGAGAGATTGGGACGGTTTAATTAACGAGGATCAAACCCTGGTCCTGATGAAGCTTCAGTATCAAAGTCAGATGTTGTCAGACTGCGGCTGAAGCCATAACCTGTTCAGTTCAGTTAAGGAAAAATCTGTGTTTTTCTTCTAAATCTTACGAAGTTAATTTGATGCAGAAACAGAGAACTGAGATCATCAGATCATTTCATTATAACGATCATTTATCTTTTTATTTTTATTTTAAATAAAGTGTCAAAATATTTTTCTTTTATGTAGGACCCAGTAGGGGGCGCTGTTCTGAAGATATGAGACCGTTTTTCTATTGACATTAAACACTTTTCATTTCTGTTTGTTTTGTTTCTTATTTCTGCCACTCTATAAAAAAAATAATAAAATAAACAGCCTTAAAATCAATGAGATAAAAAGGAGTTCAAATACTTTGAGTATTTTGAAGGAGTACATTTAAACAGAACATTTACAGGTGACGTTTTTGCTTTTTTCCTTATAATAAGATAAAAAACAAAGTCACGTACTGACTAATATTCATATTGTAATAGTTAAACTTGAATTTTAATGGTCAGGTGATTGATGTTGTTTTTTTTTTTTCTTTTAAATCTGTCAATAACGTCAACAGTCCAACAGTCAGTGAACGCACCGTTCAGGAATGTTTTTTAAATCAGGAAGAGATTTTTGTCCGCGGTTGTTTTGATGCTGAGTTTAAATTAAAAAAAAAAACCTCAGTCAATACATCACTGCCTATCACATATCACATGACATATCACATGACATATCACCTGACATATCACATGACACATCACCTGACATATCACATGACACATCACCTGACCTGCTGTATCTCATCACAGTGGGACATTTTTGTCCGTTTCATCCTCAACATAAACACGTCTTGAAATTTAAAG